AAGGGTGGACTAATCATGAGGGGAAGACAAAGAGATTTACAACAAAAAAGATTATGCAGAAAATGACAGAGAAACCCTTAAACCTGCAGCAGCCTCGATTACTCTTTGACTTTTAGTCTTTTTGAAATCCTAATTAATAAATCAATCCAAAAACTCATAATCATGAAAATCCTTTGATCCACTTTTTTTATTTAAATAATAATAATAAATACAAGCAAAGTTTCATTAATTTCACATTAATTCTTGTTTAGTCTGTGAATTGTGCACTGGTGCATTTGTCTATTTAAATATGTTTGATTGATGTCCATCTAGTAATTTTCTGTTTGAGTGAGAGGGAGAGGTGTGGATGGGGGTTTGATGGGAAGGGCTGGAGATGTTTGAGGGTGAAAGAGGGAAGAAACATTTTTCATTCAGTGTTCTTTTATCTTACAAGGCGTTTCAAGGACAGGAGCTTCAATGGCTGCAGAGAGGTGAACGCTAGCAAGGCCAACGTTTTATGCTTTAAGAGAAGGCAACAAACGTCACAGAAAAAAACAGGGGTTACAGGAATAAATAAGAAGCTGTATTGTGTTTCCCTCGTCACATTTCCAAATCATCAGTTTTGTCCCTTAGGCCTACATGTGAGACAGCTCAGTAAGAACAAGGGTTTGTTTCCCACTGGGTTCGGCCATGCATGCAAACATGTATTCCCCCACCCTAAGCAGCTTTGGAGAAGAGCACCAAATGGCATATTTCATTTCCTCTTGGCACATCTGCTCTTTGCTCGTAGAAACCACAGCATGTGATTTCCATGTATCCATCACATGCATAACATGTGTAACACAAAAGATGGCAGATAAAAACTAATATGACAGTGTTGCACCAGGATTCACATAATAGATTCTTCTTGTTTCTCAGTATCTATCAAGACTGAGAAACATGTTTTACATGTATTATTATCTCTTTTTTGTATTAAACACAAACCCCTTGTAGGTTGAAAGATGGCTGTTAAAGTTTTCATCCATCATAGAGCACAAAATATCCATAGAAACTCAATCCACTCCTGCAGCATCGTCCACCCACCTTTCCTCAACAAACAACAAACGACATGCTTCCCCCAACATGCTAAAATATGTCTGAATTCTATGCTCTTTTAGTAATGAGCATCCATCACTTTAATTTGCAAACTATGGGGCCATCTGGACTTTACGTGACATGTACTGTCTAAAAGATTATAAATACATGGGATTTTTTAAACAGGGTTAATAGAATATAAGGAATGGTGTGTAAAATGCTAAAACAGACATAGCTAAATCCCTTTTAGCTGCATGTTTAAGAATGAGAGGGTGACCTTTGAAGACAAGATTCATATTTGATAGCTGTCAGGCTTTTCCAGCACGTGAGAGCAAGAAGTTTAAGTATTCACCCACTGCTGATTTTTAGATGTCTCTGACTTTTCTAATGGATACCTGAAAGAGAAGCGTGCAGTGCTTGAAGCATATTGTTTACACCAGGTGAATCCATCCGTTCTGCAAGATTTGAGTTTTCTTTGAGTTTTGACAAATCGGTGATTGACATCAAACTGCTCCATCAGCTCCTCAAATGTATTCAACTGAAAACAGTGAATGTCAGAAAAACGAACCAATCCTAAATCTTTTCATTATCATTTTGATGTTTTGAACATTTTCATTCCTTACCTCTCACCCTGTACTGTGTGATTTCTTGGTGAGGTTTAGAAGTTATTTTTATCGTCTGGTTTTCAGCTGTCAATGGAGGAGACGGGAGAGATGAGAGAACCAAATAATTTTTACTCTGTCACCCACCATCCTTTGAATCATCAGAGAGATTTTATTTTAAGCTTCTCTATTGTAAAATGCTGTGATGCCAAGGACAGGTGCTGCATCATTCATGAACGGGAAGGAGCTGTTACTTACGTACTCCTGAGTAGTTTTTTCTTTTTTCTCTCCGCAGTGAGTCATTTTATTTGTGCATTTTGATCTCAATTAAATTAGGGATGTTGCAGTAACTGTTTGCACATACTTTTCCCTGTAAATTAATTTGCTTCAGTGAACTTGTTTGGCTAAATAGGGGTTAAAAAAATGTCTGATAAAGTGTGTGAAGTCAGTCAGAGTTTAATTATGAAGTGTGAACAGCCTTTCACCTATGGGGATGTGTTTGACAGTTAGACAGGACAAGAACACAGCAATGACACCTGTCTTCTTCACCACCTTATTTGTGCTCCTATGCATGTGGGAGCGTGTGTGTGTGTATGTATAGTACATGTGAAAATGCCTTTACACACATGTACATGTGAGTATTCTGTCTACGTACACCACCAATTACGCACTAGACACCAACAGGATAAATAAACTGCACAGCACAGGCAGTCACACACACACCACGAACCCGGACATTTGCACATAGCATTTTGTTTGTATTTTATTTTTTATTACTTTTCTATGATTATTATTATTATTATTTATTCTCAATACTTATTTTTAGCCTAAATGTATTCTTGCGGTGTTATTATTTTTGTGTTATTACTGCTTGGGGAGTAATAAAGACCCTACCTACCCGACTAACACGTGCATGTGTAGAGCTTTTATGCATTTTAACCAAAGCTGTCCTCTGAGAATGAGCATCATTACTTTTCCTGATGATCACAATAATAAAATGTTACTGTTTATTTGATTAATGAATGTACCTTTAGGTTCAAATAGAAGTCAATTTGTTCAGCATGTTATTAAAACCTACAACGACTGAGGTACTGCATATTTGTCATCAGACAGACTTTATTTTTAAGGACAACAACATAGACAAGCTGATATCTGATTTTTAACAAAAGGCGAATGTTGACTGTGTCCATATGGGTTCATGTTTCTACACACACATGCATCAATACCTGTGTTTCTGTGTCTCTTCTGTGTCTGTATATGTGTGACCAGCATTTGTGTGTGTATTTTAGGGCGTCGGGCGCGATGGCTAATGCCTCCCCAGACCTGGACAACGCGGAAGCCCAGCGCCAGCTCAACAACAACAACCGACCAATCAGCTCTGGGTTCTGGGAGACGGAGTGTACCAGCTCCAAGCTGTTCGAGTGCTCCCGCATCAAGGCCCTGGCAGGTCAGAGGTCACATGCATACAGGCAAACATACTATGAACAGACCTGCATCAGTAGATATATTAATATACCAAGGGCACAGTGTTGAGTTTTAAATTCTTGATTTGTTTCAAGTAGGTGGCTTCAAACTAATCCACTAACATTAGTGTTAATATGATTTTATTGGTAAAGCAGCACTAAAAATCCTTCCCTCCAGAAACACAGAACATAGATCTCATATTTTAAAAAGCCTCATCAGGTAACCTCACAAGGTAAAGCTGTAAGCAAAATTTGACTAAATGCTAGTGCTGGCTAATGCTGTTTAGGATAGTATTTTATTTAATATCAACTGTTAACTGTCTTTTTTAAAACAAAGCAATGGCTTTATTCGGAACCAGATTGTTCGTCTTTATCCCCTTCCCTTTGATGTGAAGTTAATTTCTTTATTTCACTCAGACGAACGAGATGCGGTGCAGAAAAAGACTTTTACCAAGTGGGTTAACTCCCATCTGGCCAGAGTGTCCTGTCGTATATCTGACCTCTACAACGACCTGAGAGATGGATACATGCTCACCAGACTGCTGGAGGTCCTCAGTGGAGAGCTGCTGGTGAGAACATATACACACACACACACACACACACACACACACACACATCACTCAATGTAAAAATCTACCTGTCCTTAAACCAAACATTTCCATCAACTCTCAAAGCTTTACCTCAAATACTATGTTTACTCATAAGCTCTGTTTTTACTAGTAAAATCCAACCCATTGGCATATGTTTTTAAAAGTTATCCTTCCCTATGGTAATTATATTAATGTCTGTTATATGTATGTTAATGCTAATGTTGCATGATGTTGTATGTAGCACTATAATACACTATAATAATAAGGGCTTTGATATCAAACATCTTCATCCCTCGGTCCTCCCCCAGCCGAGGCCTACTCGGGGTCGTATGCGGATCCACTGCCTGGAAAATGTTGACAAAGCTCTGCAGTTCCTCAAAGAACAGAGGGTTCACCTGGAAAATGTTGGTTCCCATGACATTGTGGATGGGAACCATCGCCTCACCCTGGGCCTTATGTGGACCATCATTCTACGCTTCCAGGTAAACAAACACATATAAAACGCCAAGGTATTGCTAAGATTATTGTATAACATGTTATCACAGCTCAGAGATGTAATGATTCGGTTTTGGAGATGTCACATTTAGTTGAGTCATGGCCAAGGGTGGATTGCAGCCTGTTGCCTGCAGCTCTTTATCTAACAGCTCACTGTGAGTGGTCATTGGTGCTGCACTAACCCTGAAATATTTCAAACTAATTTGATGTCTTGTTTAATATTGAAGATGCATTTTTAATGAATGATAGCAGTCAGTGCTAACCTTGGTGACAAATACATTGTGTTTCTTGTGCTTGCTTGTGCCAGCTGAATGAAATGTTTAAGTTAGTTTTTTGGGCATTTTTTGCCTTTAATCCAATAGTTGCAGTGAGAGAGAGAGAGACAGGAAAATCAGGGAGAGAAAGGGGGGATGACTTGCAGCAAAGGGCCACGAGTCGGATTCGAACCCGGTCCGCTGTGACCTAGACCTGTTTTATAATCAAAGAAGTCTACCTACCTTTCTACAATATGAGACCTTTAATACAACTCTGACTAGGAGAGTGAAAGCTGGATTGCATGCTGTATTGTTTCCTGTGAGTCCCTTATTTGAATCCAACATCAGAATGGCCACTCTACCACCACATGGAATGGTCATTTCTGAAAAATTTTGTCCATAGATAGAATCAAAAAGGGAGTTTGATTTAATTGAAATCTTATTATTATTATTATTATTATTATTATTATTATTATTATTATGTTATTATAACTTTAAGACTGGTATTGGTCTGATATTAGCAGTGTCACATGGGTGTTTCTAATGAATTAAAGTATGCTAGGTGGACTTTGTTAGTGCACTGACTTGCTGGCATGTGTTCCCATGCTACTTACTAAAGCGCCAGGATGCTGTAATCAGCAGTGGCTTCATTTAGGATGAGCTGCCAGCGGTACAGTTTGGGGGAGGTTGTCACAGCTGCAGCATCATCAGTGTGCGACAGCGACAGCAGTGTTTGGTGGATAAAGCCTGAATGTCACTCAGGGCTCAGCAGCCTAGAGGTAGCAGTCGCCTTCCAGTCTGTTCTTCAACAAGGACACACATACACACACAGAAACTTACCCACACTGCACTTGCTCTCTAACATCTACACTCTCTCAGCCTGTCTATCTATCTATCTATCTATCTATCTATCTATCTATCTATCTATCTAGTCACAAACATACCTATGTGCTTGCATACTGACATACACATTTTATCACTCAAACTTGTACTCACATTCACACACATACACAGGTTTCCAGGCCTTAGCAGCAGTGATACAGGATCAGTTCCTGCCATGTAAGTACAGCATAAGCCCAGGGCTCCTCTTCATTACGCTTCAGTGCTACAGCGTGGCCTCGGCACGAAATGCTTGTTTAGCATTATTCAGACCCTTCTGTAATATTCACGGTGCACAGTCGGCTCGTAGCTGTCTCTTGGGACTCAGTGTTGTCATGCTTGGGCTGGCTACCTACCACAAAGCGCGTTTAAAAGCACTGCTAGAAGAATTAGCTCATGTTATGTCAAGTGATCTTCTGCAAGCCAGGCAAGTGAGGCAATTAAAGAGGAGAATGGTGTGTGTGTGCAATATGGCTGATTGGTCTCATGATTTCAGTGTAAATGTTAAAAAGAATTTATGTGTATGTTAACTGTTGAAACATTGTTCATGATGGACATCATTGTCATGTAATTTAATCCCAACAATTTAAGTTTAAGTTTCAGTGTTTGATCTGAATGACATGTTTCAGTAGACTGTTTAGAAAAAAAATTGTTTAGATTCATATATTTTTCAAAAAATATACTCCACAACATTGTAATGGTTTGAGTCTAGCTAAGCAGCTGTAACTGCACAGTTTTGGATACAATAGTGTTGGCTACTGGCTAGCTTTGCCACCATTAGCTGTTAGCTTGGCTGTCGTCGTGCTCTCCTTCTTCTTCAGGGAGCCACTAGTCGATGGCCTCTTCAATTTTGCATGCATTGAGACAGGAGAGCAGTGCAGGAGACTGATGTCCAGGAGTGTTTGTGTGTGTGTGTGTGTGTGTGTGTGTGTGTGTGTGTGTGTGTGTGTGTGTGTGTGTGTGTGAGAAAGAGTAATTATGAAAGAAATGAGGATAGAGGGAAAGGATGGTTTGCTGATGGGAAACAATAAGCAGCAATGTTGTGGTAAATAACCAAAGGTGGGGCCTGAATGTGACATTAAGACAGTGTTCACCATTAGTCATGTGTGTTCAGTCCGTTTCTTATTATTAACAAAGGTTAAAATAAGTTTGAAATACATACAGTATAACACAGTCTTTCCTGCTTTCCTTATCGTTTGTTCACAAGGTGCCATTTATAACCCTCGAAGCTACAGCCATTCTTACACAACTGTTTTATTTACCATTATTTAAGCAGGCAGGTAAGTTTAGAAAAAATCTTATTTGGAATGAAAACCTAACAAAAAGCCATTTGAGGTAAGAGGACACGAAACTGAGATTGAAACTGAAATGAAAACAAAATACACACAATATCAATGGAACAAGAGAAAGCAAAGCCACTAAGTGACTATGAAAAAAATAAATAACGACAAGCACAAAGCTGTACAGCTAAAAAAGAAATTCACATCAAATTTAAATGACATTTTTAGTCATGTTTAAATAAGAAAAGCTTACTTCTATCTGACAGTTCAGTCTCATTTTATTTCCACTTTTGGCTAAAACCGCACTGATATGTTTTCATTTTAAAACGGTGTTTTGAACCAAAAACGATCTCCGTCCAGACGTTAGTCCAAATCAGAAATGATCTCCATCCATACTAACATGCCTGAAAATGCATATCACATGACCATTCACCAACACTGGGCATGTGCATGCCAGTGTAAGCAGGACGCAGATTGTCTACTCTGTTGTTGGTTGCTTAGTTGCAGAAAATACTATAATTTCAGAACAGCCATGGCAAAACGTACAAGCAGAGGTTTCCCTGGAGTTTCCAAACTAAAACAGGGTCAGCAGTGGTTCCAAAATTCTCCATTTTAGGGCCTCGAAAACTCTGGGGTGGTGTGGACACCAGGTGAAAATGTAGCAAAAGTGATATGTTTTAAAACTAAAACGTATTATTATGGATGTAGCCTAAAGGGCTGAATTCATGTCCTCCATTTGCTGTGAGACCTGGCTACTCTTGGAACAATTACATTTTAAAGTACAGAGTGTATTCTTGTCTACTGATCAGCTTTAGGCAAAGACACAGTTAATTCTATAGTTTACAAGTGATCCAGGCCTGGGAGTTTTGCCATTATGCAATTGTGTTTTTTAGCCATAACTAGGATACTAACAGAGTCTGCGGTTTGATTCCAAATACAAAAGCATGTTTATAGAATAACTTCATTTAACGGAAGATTTCCGTGGTAAGAATAACATCAGCAAGTTGGCAGAGGTTTATGTTTCTCGAGTAGCTTCCATTTATCTTTCCCTCTTGCACTTTGTCTCTCCTCATCTCCACCTCTTTTCCCCTGTCCTCCCTTCCTCTGTGGTGAAAGAGAGAGTTTGCTTTGCCCAGTCAGCAGGTAGGACCAAACCACTGCAGTAACTGCACACATGCAGAAAGAGGGAGAGAGACAGAAAGAGAGGGAGAGAGAGAGAGAAAGGAGAGAAGGGAGAGGATTGACAGGCAAAGGAAAAGGTAATCCTAATGTATTTGCAGAACCATACACAAATAATAACAGACTGTTATTATTTGCAGTGACTTCAATTATAGTGTTGTATATGGTTGGCTGAGTGTCCCTGTGCTGTATGCAGTGAGTGTGTGTATGTGTGAGCTTACCTAACACACTGCCAGCTCACTTGCAGTTTCCAGTGAGTCTGAATTGAGACACATTGATCTAGCTTTACTATGTATTTGACAACATATATAGATTCAGATTTTTACTGAATGCACACAATACTGCACTCTTGACACAGCTGAGATGTAGATTGTAGCAGTAGCAGGGACATGTTCCTAGTGACACATTCCCTGTGAGATTATCTGACACATTGTCGTAAGCATCACAATGTTGTCTTTTCTTAACCTTTTTTAGTCTGTTGCAGTGAAGCAAGTGCTGGCAGACACACTTTACATCACAACAAATCATGGAGATAATGGTGAATTGTGGATCATACTACATACATATTTCCTATTTCGGACAAATTTTCTGTGTCTAAGGGTCTTCCATCTGTTCTTGCTCACTAAGACAGTAGCTCTTATATTGCAATGAATATGAATCCTTTTCTTATTTTATGGATTTACTGATTAATCATTTAATTAATCTGTGTGGCAAAAATAATGACAAATACTAATTACTCACAAGTTACCAGCCTATCATGATGCCTTAGAAACTGCTTGCTTCCTCTTCATCATTTGATCTATAGTGGTATGAAACAGTGGAAAGCAAGCAGCTCTTCTAATTTGTGAAGCAGTGACCAGCTAATATTTGGTATTTTCAAATGTTAAACACCTAAGGTCATACTTTATTTATCATTTAAAGTAGGGCTGCACAATATGCAAAAAATCATAATGCAATTATTTGACACATTTGGATATGGGTCACCATTTTATTGGCTATGGTAATTTTTGCATTTCAATCACTGAAAAAAAGTATAAAAAGGTTGATCTGTGTAGCATCACAATGCTATATTTATTATGGTCTGTTGTGACACATTTTACCTCTATCAAAAAATAGCAGCTCCTTAAATTTGGATATGGCACTTGGCCATATTGTGATTTCAATAACATTTTGATTAATTATTCAGCGCTAATTTATACTTTTGGATTTGGGTCATTTTCACTGATAAATAATTCACTGTGAAATAAAGAAATTCGTTTTGCGATAAAAATAAATATTTAATGCAATAAGGTGGACATTTAATAAATGTTTATGCTCAAATTAATTAGGCTTTTTCCATATGCATTGTTTGCATATGAATTATGATGTCTCTGCTGCTGAAATAAACTTTAGAGCTAGTTCCAAAATGTATTTGTGTGTGTGCATTTGTATGGTTATGCGATATGAGGACCAGTTTGAGTTTTAGTCCTCTGGAGTGAGGATATTTTGGGCGGTACTCACGTTCTGACACATCGTCAAAGCGCTGTATGAGGGTTAAGACTTGGTTTCATGGTTTGGGGCAGAATTAGGTTTAAGGGTAGGGTTAGGGATAGGCGTTAGGCATTTAGTTGTGATGGTTAAGGTTAGGGTAAGGGACGGGGGAATGCATTATGTCCATGAGAGTCCTCAGAAGGATAGAAGTACAAACATTTGTGTGTGTGTATGTGCAGTGTTGTGCCTAACAACATGGCTAGCAGCTGATTCATGGGTGTCAGGTCCCCAATTACCTTGGATCATGTCAATGTGATGTGATTGGTGGAATAGCTGTCACTGTCACCTATCATCAGGCGTTGTAATGGCTCTGCACTTCTTTGCACTGAAATCCTCAGCTCTTATTGCTTTTGTCTGTTCTTTGTGTTAATTCTCTCACACTGTGTTTTCATTTTATAGTTCAGGTATACTATCAGAGCAGTGTGACTCTGACATTTCCTCTTCGACCTCTTAGTCACCTGCAAGATCTCTTTTTTTCTTTCAAGTGATCCAGATAGGCCTGGCGTTGCTCCTGTGAATGGCTGTTCACCCAGTTGGAGAAACCACTCAGCCAATCAGAGCCTTTATGGGCAGGACTGAAATTGGCTGACATTGCCAAACTATGTCACATGGGTACTGGCAACACTTTAATCACTGATGCGATTGCTGCTTATTATCTATAGCTAAATACAAATGATCTGACCCCGGATGGGAGCACGGCCAGGTGGCTAATAAGTAAGCTAACTTCACTGACTAGTTTGCAAATGTTAGACAGTCTTTGTTACTCTGGCTGTGTCTGAAATAACTTCATTCAATCTTTCTCTGCTCCATATACTGTATATATATTATAGACACTCAATAGTTTACTCTATAAATTGAGATTCAGCATACTAAACAATCACTGAAAGGTATAGTGTTGCAACACTATAAGATACAATGGCATTGCAGAGTAGGATTGTTAGCAGTTGTACATGGACACTTTTTTCCCTCCATTGTTGGAACTTACTTACATTAAAATATAATGATAGTCAATATAGTGCACCATAAAGTAAACAGGAAGTGATTCTGTTTGCTAAACACCAAACTAGTAGACTCTGTCTTGAGTGAGGGACAGGTAAAAACCTAAAATGTGGATGTATTTTCCTAAACAGAAAGGGTCTGTGCCACATTGTCTCTCCCACAAATGCTTAACCTGTTGCTTTTCTTGTTCAGATCCAAGTGATCAAAATAGAGACAGAAGACAACAGAGAAACCCGCTCTGCTAAGGATGCCCTACTGCTCTGGTGCCAGATGAAGACCGCAGGGTGAGCAGTGAAATAAATATAAAGGAAACTGTGACCTACAACAGTAAATTCCATGATCATTTATGTAATTTTCCATTTAATTTTTGTTTATTTATTTCACACAAGTCAGAATCGAATACAAGTAAAAGCATACAAACATGATAATAGCAATGGATGAAAATGGGACACCCCAATAAGCTTCAGAAGTTTGTGAATAGGGGCCCAGTAACGGCATATAAAAAATAATAACAATTTCAGCTACAAAATGCCTAAATCCTAATACCTAAAACTCAAAGAATAACTAAATGGTCCAAAAACACACTTAAAGTTACAAAAGATTTCTCCATCGTCCAGGTACCCTGAGGTCAACATTCAGAACTTTACCACCTGCTGGAGAGACGGCCTTGCCTTCAATGCCCTCATACACAGACACAGGTAAGTAGTATTCTATCTATCATGTTTAAAATTGGGTTTGATGCAATGAGAGCAGCAGATAGAAAATTGTGGGAATGTTTGCCATGTCTTTGTGTTTTGGGTTTTTTTATTTACAGCAGAAGTTGTTGTATTTTTCAGTTTTTCAGGAATTTAAGATCTAAATTAAGATGTTAATGATGTAAAACACCAGACCAAAAACAGCTGCACCAGCAAAAACAAAATGAATACACACACATTTAGATGAGCAGACAAAAACAGAATGGTAAGACTGACATGCAATTTTAGGATTAGAGCCATACAAGCATGGCAAATTCTGTTTCTTCATCTTGCACTCTCCAGACCTGACCTGATAGAGTTCCACAAGCTGACGCGGTCCAATGCAACCCATAACCTCCAGCAAGCCTTCAACATCGCTGAGCAGCACCTCGGCCTCACCAAACTCCTGGACCCTGAAGGTGAGAATGTTTAACTGGTTTTGGGTTAATGTCAGTTAAACCACATTACATACAGAAATAGTGACAGAAAAGGAATAGTGACATAAAAGTGATTTTTTTGTATTCACCGAGAAAAATAGTTTTTCTGTGGCTCCAGCTAAAGCTGACCAGATATTAACTCCTCTGTTCTCTACCTCCATCATCTCTCTCTGGTACAGATGTGAACACAGAGAACCCTGATGAAAAGTCCATCATCACTTATGTGGTCTCCTACTACCACTACTTCTCAAAGATGAAGGCTCTTATCGTGGAGGGCAAGAGGGTTGGCAAGGTAATAAATAGGCCCATATGCAGATTTACATATAGACATTTCATGTCCAATGCATAAACGCTAACACAGTAGTTGAGCTGCCATTATTTTGAAAATTGAAGAACCAACTGTGTTGTCAGGCAAAAACACAAACTGCAATTTGTGTTCAATTCATAAAAATGTGCAAAACTTGAGTGACAGAGATGTAAAAACATAATTCTGAACATTTCTCTGTTTCTCATTGTGTCTTCTTGTCTTCCACTCTCTACTTAACCTCTTCTTCCTCTTTGAATCTCCCAACCATCTTCTGCCTGTCCTGGCCAGGTACTAGACAACTGTATTGAGGCAGAGAAAATCATCAACCGGTATGAGGCTCTGGCGTCAGACCTGCTGGACTGGATCGAAAAGACCATCGCGGTCATCAGCAACCAGAAGTTTGCCAACTCACTGACAGGAGTCCAGCAGCAGCTACAGGCCTTCACCACCTACTGCACTATAGAGAAGCCAATCAAGTACGTTTTGTGATTTTTTTTTTTTTAAATGGCAGCTTGATATTTTAATAATAATAGAAAATAATCAGAAACATGTGAAAAAAATATTTCAAAATAATATATTTATTATTTCTTCAAGCCTGATCCTCCATCCTGCCTGCAAAATAAGACTTTGTGTCTGTAGCTGACAAATAATTTGACTTTTAGTGTCTTAGGCTAACATTAGCTGAGAGGAATGTACAAGTAGGATTAACATCTATCTTGATAAAATAATTTGTGGTTATTTAATTATGTGTAGTGACATACTTCACGTTAATTAACACACACACAGACGCACACTGATGTTGCTTCTACAAAAGCACAGACACTGTCTATAGAGTACATACATACAACGTACAGTACTTTGGTGTTCAATGAGCCTACAGTACATTTAGAGATGTGCTGCCAGTAGCATGGTGATACCATCTCCAAACTGAACACCTTTTGTTTTATCCTGTGGGATTTCACATCTAAGCATCATACAACTAGCTGAACCCATAGATGTACACTGTGTACTGTGTACTCAACTGAAGCTGAAACATGGAAAACTTAAAATTTTACTGTATGAGTTTTACCTGATAATGCTGACAATAGAGTTGAAGCAGTTAGTTGAATAATCAAATCAACAGATTAATCAAGAAGTATTTTTGACAACTGATTAGTCATTTTTCAACGATTTCCAAAAAATTCTCTGGTTCCTGCCTCTCTCTGCGGGTTTGCTCTTTTTTTGTCATGTATGAGAATAGACAGATATCTTATGGTTTTCGACTGTTGGTTGGACAAAACAAGACATTTTTAGACATCACCTTGGACTATAATAATTTCTTATGATTTCATTTTTCAGTATTTTTTGAAAATTTATAGAAAAGTGAATTATGAAAAAAATCAGCGGATTAATCAGTAATGAAAATTATATTATTGCTGAAGCAGTAAAAAATACACATGAGATCTTCATACAGTAGACCCTCCCAGAGTGATGATATGCAATGACACTGGACAACAGGTAAGCAGAGTGAGCAAAGACATCGCCCTCTAACCACAGTCGTCAGACCTCCGTGTCAGCCAGCATTCATGCTGCCTCATGTCCTTGATCAAGACTCCGAATCCTTGACCAACTTTGTGGCTGCAGCTTCAGTGTTTCCTTTGACCTCAAAGTTGGAAGTATTTTGTTGTGTCTCCTACACAAGAGGGGACTATTGAAAGAGAAGAGGTCATATTGTGGAGCAGTATCCTTAACTAAAGTTTTTTGTCTCTCACTCAGATTTCAGGAGAAGGGAAATCTCGAGGTCCTTCTCTTCACAATCCAAAGCAAACTTAGAGCCAACAACCAGAAACCATACGTGCCTCATGATGGGAAGCTCATCTCAGACATCAACAAGGTCATACATCCACCAGCTGTGTTGTGTCGTTTTTATTTCATATACAGTATTTCACTTTTCAAGTTATTGATGAAAAGGTCACAATCACTCTTTAACCGTTGAGAAAAAACCTTCAGTCAAACTTAGTTTCCATAGTTTTTACCTTAAATTGACCCATGACTGTTTAACCAGTTATATTTTCCATTACCTCTATTTTAATATCACTTTTCCACTATCAAACATTTCGTTTTGTTATTTTCTTTTCAGGCCTGGGAGAGGCTGGAGAAGGCTGAGCATGAGAGGGGTGTTGCTCTGCGCAAGGAGCTGATACGTCAGGAGAAGCTAGAGTTGCTGGCTCAGCGCTTTGACCACAAAACCACCATGAGACAAGCCTGGCTCAATGAAAACCAGAGACTTGTATCACAGGTAGGGATCTAGGAGGGGTTGGGCGGGGTAAGACTGAACCAAAACTCCTCAATCTAAAATTATGTTGCAATGTGTGAATGTTTCCCCTGTAGCTTACTTCAACTCATCTGACCTTCGCAACTGCTATACCCATGTGTTTCGTCCACTGATTTTACAACAGTGAAGTGAAATGTTCTGTGACTACTTGGAAGAGAAGATGTCATGCATTTTGTGTTAACTGAGCAGTTCCTGTTCCCTTTAGTGTGTCAAATCTAGTATCTTTTAATATGTCATCTGTCTAGTCAGTATGTAAATCATAAAGTTCTTCTTTGACCATCTTAATTTCATTATTTAATCTTCATGAGTCCAGTCTGCTTTCCTTGGCTAAACACCTTCCATTTTGTCTTTTTCCTCATCTCTGCCTTCAGGACAACTTTGGCTATGACCTACCAGCGGTCGAGGCAGCAATGAAGAAACACGAGGCCATCGAGGCAGACATAGCCTCGTATGAAGAGCGAATTGGAGTGGTGGTTGAACTTGCAGCAGAGATGGAGGCAGAAGGATACTATGACATCCGACGTATCTTGGCACGCAAGGAGAACATCCTGGGGCAGTGGGGTCTGCTGAAGGAGCTGGTGGCAGGGAGGAGGACCCGTTTGGAGAAGAACCTGGCCCTGCAGAAGACTTTTCAGGACATGGTCTACATGATCGACTGGATGGAGGACACACAGGTATTGAAGGGTGTGTGAGAGGGAGGGAACGAAAGAGACACTCTATCTCTATCTAACTACTGTATAATCAGTAGTTGGATACAGAGGAAAGAAACAGTGGAGATGGAGATGGAGGAAGAGTAAAGTCTATATGGTTTGAAGAGTGAAAATTGAAAGAGACAGAGCAGAAGTATGTGTCAGTGTTTTTGATTTATAAAGAGAAATAAAGAATGAGTAGAATAACATCATAGAAATGAAATCAGAAAAAGATCTCTGTTGTCTTACTGTCCCTTCCTGTCTCTCTCAGGTCCAGCTGCTGTCAAAGGACTTTGGGAAGCATCTTCTGGAGGTGGATGACCTGCTGCAGAAACACAGCCTGCAGGAAGCCGACATTGCAGTGCAGGCTGAGAGGGTCGAGACACTCAACACAGCTGCACTCAAATTCACCACAATAGAGGGTACACACACACACTCACTGAGCTTTCATACTTTGTACATCACTGAAGTATACTGATGAATACTATGAATACTAATGAATGTGAAAATGTTCTGTTTTTTAAAACCCAAAAGCATTAATCAGAACACATAGAAAAATGTTAAATGTACTTTAAATTTTAGGTATTCGGCATTGATAAAGGCTTCAGTGTCTGCACAGCAACACCTATACAATATTAAAATTTAACCTTTATAAGCTTATAATGTTCAGTTTCTGTTTCAGTTCATTGAAGTTCTGTTTTGTTGGTTTGGTTTTCATTATTCTGTACAGATGTTAGCAAAGTCATTTGGATTGTAATGAAGATTGTTTTCTTTTCCCCAGTGCTTGTTATCTGTCATAGACTAACTAAGTTAAAAGAGGAAGCAAGGATTTAGTATTGATTTCATTCAGTCAAGTGGAGATTTATACTATTTGACCTTGACACAACAGGAACATTGATTTTTTGAACTTGATATCAGTAAGGAGTATGTTTTTTTTTTTTGGTGATCCAGCTCAGAGTACATTACTGTAATGAATTACAGTCTTATTTTCTTTCATGGTCATTAACATCATTTTGTTGCCTCCCAGGTTACCAACCGTGTGACCCACAGGTGATCTGTAACCGCGTCAACCACGTCTCTTCCTGTCTGGAGGAGCTGAAACAACTGGCAGCTAAAAGGCGTGCTGAGCTTGAGGAGTCGAGACAGCTGTGGGCCTTTTTTCAGGTAGGATAGTCCGACAGGGTTGTGTTAAATATTCCCAGCCAGTCAACGGGCCTTTATACGCCACCTGAAGTGCTTGTGGGATACTTCAAACAACTGTGGAAACCTGCTCCTTTTTGATATTGGAATTAGGAGGAAGGGTGCTTATGACAATTTCTTCAAATTTATGAAACCAAAAGTCTGAGTCGGAGATGAGAGAGTAAGCAGGGTTTCAACTTCTCTCTTTTTTAATTCTTAAAACAACTATTTCTGTCACTTTTCATTTAAATGACTGAGTACAACACTATGAATGTCAGGAGAGATTGTGTGTCATTATCCTGATATTTAATAATTATCATGTCTTCTGTATCTCTATGGCTGCCAGCTTTTCACTCTGCCTTTGAGTGTGGCCATTCTGATAACTATAAACACTTTTGTTGGACAACATGTCAAACAATTTAGTTCATTCGTTGCATAACCCAACTCTCAGACAACAACCTTGCCAAGTGTACAGTCAGCTTATGAGAGTGACGGCTCAACAGAAATGTCTGCTAAAGAAATAATAAATCACAAAGCAAATTACTGTAATGATAATGTTTTGTTACTTACTGCTTTGACACGAGAACAAAATGTTTTTAGTGCTGGTTGCTCGCCTAGAGCACTGCAATGAAAGTTTGTCAGAGGAGCTCCACAAATATGGAGCTTTTTGTGTTTTACAGCATCGATACAACTATAGCTGTTAATAACAGCCTGTCTTTGTAGTATGCTGGCAGAGAAGGGTTAACATTTATGATCAGATTAGTTATTGCCATAGAGTGGCATTAATCCAGTTGAAAGGCATGTTAAAAAAATAATCTGTCCTTTTCTGTCTTACCTTTTAGACAGGAACGACAGGTACAATCAGCATTTTTTATTAATGACATCTTTCTATGGGGCTGCATCATTTCGTCTTACTCTGTCTCAGTCCATTTCCATGCGTCAGACTGGGGATCTGTGTGTCTGCTGAAAAAGCTGTTTATCACTTTGATAACACAGAGCTGGTGACGACGTTATGAATAAGCTTTTAGAATTAACAATGAAAGTAATGAGTGTATAATAAGAGTAGTGGATTTCTTTCTCCAAAGAGTCATTGGTTCACATTGTTGAATCACTAATTATATCACATTACTGATTCATTTGGCTAATTCTACCTCTGCCTTTTTTGAGGCTGTTGAACACAGACTGGGATCTGTGTTAGATGCACTTTATGGATCACAGGAGAGGACTGCTTTATATTTCTGAACTTTTTTCCTTTACATAGTTTTTTCTTTCATTGATCTTTAATTTTTTTTTTCTTTTCCCAGGTATCAGTTCATTTAATACATTTTTTTTAAATGTTTTCCTTTCGAAAGGAAGGTTATGTTAGGGTTATAAAGCCTGTGGTTTTGTTTAAAAGTAATAATGTTTTATCTATTTTGTCTGTTTGTTCTCCTTTTAGGAACTGGAGGAGTCAGAGGCCTGGATCAGGGAGAAGAGCTCCATCCTGGGAGCTCAGGGTTATGGGAAGGACCTCAGCAGTGTGCTGAGGTTACTACAAAAACACAAGACTCTGGCTGGAGAACTGCTCGCCCATCGGTCACTGCTGCAGGTGTGTTTGCATGTGTGTTTGTGTTTTTATCTGTTTGTGAGAGAATCAGCACCTGGAATTCCTGTAGTACCTGGAGTTACTGTTTTAAACTTAATGTACTTCAGTAAATGTATGTATTAGCATTAATAAATTACTCTCTGATCTCACCCACAAAAATAACTTTTTTGACAAAAATCATTTTGAATAGTGAAAATATATATTTTGCAGAAAAGTATATCACCTTGCCTCTTTTTAGTACAGTTTGATTTATATAATCTGACAGCATTCATCATTGAAACTTGTTGCTCACTTTCATATTTGATTAATTGACATTGACCTCATGTGTTTCTTGTTTTGTCAACTCATACTTGTTGTGAAACATCACATGTAAAATTTGATATGATGTGACTGTAAATGTAGAAACAGGATCATAACATGAAGCCCATCAGGAGCATATTCAATATGAAGTAGGAAGGACCAAATAAAACAAAACTTTGCAACAGTCAAAGATCAATAAAACCAAAGCATCCAGTGTCAAAGGTAAATGTTTGGTGATTGGTATTTCAGATTTTGCTATAAACACTTTGATTATTATCCATCCATCCATTATCTATACCGTTTATCCTTATAGGGTTGCGGGGGGGCTGCAGCCAATCCCAGCTGACATTGGGCGAGGACAGGTTACACCCTGGACAGGTCGCCAGTCTATCACAGGGCTGACATATAGAGCCATATAGAGACAAATAACCACTTGCGCACACATCCACACCTATGGGCACTTTAGAGTCGCCAATTAACCTAATGTCCATGTCTTTGGACTGTGGGAGGAAGCCACAGTACCTGGAGGGAACCCACGCAGGCACAGGGAGAACATGCAAACTCCACACAGAAAGGCCCCAGTAGTACATCTTAGTAAGATGTTGGGTCACCATGTGCAGCCAGAACAGCTTCAGTGCTCCTTGCCGTTGACCCTACATGTTGCTGAACTCCACTGGAGGGATCAACACCATTATTCCAGAAGATATTTCCTCATTTGGTGTTTTGATGATGGTGTTGGAGAGCGCTGTCTAAAATGTCGGCCCTAAATCTACCATAGGTGTTCATCTGGGCTGAGATCTGGTGACTGTGAAGACCCTAGAATAGGAGTCACATAATTTTCATACTCATCAAATCATCCAGTGATCCGTTGTGCCCTATGGACAGGGGCATTGTCATCCTGTTTCTACACTGAATTATGCGTGTTTTTCCTTTGATTAGTCCCCCATCTGTTGGAAGGCTACACGCACATGACACATTGTTTAAAGATTTTCCACCAGTGTTACATGGGATCACACTGTATACATATAAGGGCCAAAGAGGTATGGTCACATTACACAGGTGCAGGCTTCATGCAGGGTAGATGTTGGAGGTACAGTAACTCAGTCAGAGGACTCTGTGTATGTTGATATGTATTTTTTTTTGTTCTTCTCGTCCCCTTTCTACTGTTTTTCTCAGCTCTTCAAAGTTGTCTCACAATCTACTTTTTGGACCATGATAACACAGTGTTTCTCATACATGGATTTATTTGTGGCAGCCCCCACAATATCAACATTGACTGCTACATATTGATTTTCTATTCCAAAATATCCTGCAAATAAAAGAAACATCACAGTTCTACTTAAGTATCCAGATTAAAGTTGGCTAAAATGTTGGCTAGGGTTTCCTTTTACTGCACGCAGTGTGAAATAATTTAGAGTTTATCCCTCCATCCTGCCCTGCTCCTCCAGAACACCATGAAGCGAGGAAAACAGATCCTGAGTGAGAAGAGCTTCGGCACTGCAGGGATCCAGGAGCGCATCATGGAAGTGAAGGGCGAGTGGAAGCGACTGGAGGACCAGGCAGCGCAGCGTCTTGGCCACCTGCAGGAGGCACTCAACTTTTTTCAGTTCTCCACGGAGACAGACGACTTGGTGGCATGGCTGCAGGACGCTTACCGCCTGGTCTCCAGCGAAGACTTCGGACATGATGAGTACTCCACTCAGTCACTGCTGAAGAAACACAGAGGGGTCAGCGAGGCCATCGACAAACATCGTCTTCATGTGGTGACGCTGCGCAAACACATGGTGGGGCTGCCCCTGCAGTACCGTGATCAAGAGGTGGGTAGAGGGAGAATGGTCAAGATGTTTTAACTTATTTGGTGAAAAGTATTTTGTTTGTCTTTCTGCATTTGTTCTTTTGCCCTTTTTGTCCTCGCACTTCTCCTTCACCGTCCCCTCTTCTCTGCAGGAGGTGCAGGTTCGCATGGGAGAGGTGGAGCAGCTGTATACCGAGGTGGCTGAGGTGGCGGTGCTCAGACAGCAGTGGCTTCATGATGCCCTCGCTGTCTACCGCATGTTCAGTGAGGTCAACGCCTGCGAGCTGTGGATTGATGAGAAGGAGCAGTGGCTGGACAAGATGGAGATCCCTGAGAGACTGGAGGACGTGGAGGTGGTGGCACACAGGTGAGGAGGAGGGCGAACGTTTTCTCTGTTTTATGGTTCTTTGTTTTTGATTCGTAACTGAGGAGTGACGAGCTCTGACTGGCCCAATGCATTAATGCCCCTTTTTGTAGGTTTGAGAGTCTGGACCAGGAAATGAACAGCCTGATGGGAAGGATCCTGGATGTTAATCAGATAGTTCAGCAGCTCCTGGATGGAGGTCACCCGTCTTCTACAGAGGTCCGAGGTTGTCAGGATCACCTCAACTCCAGGTACTGAAATAAAACTGGCCTCCCAACAGCTACTCACAACAGCTATTTTTGGTACTACTAATAGTATTAACAATAACAACAGATTTACAAAACACACCAATGCTGAGCCAGAAGTGGCCTTTGCTACTACAATACACTCTAGCACTAAACTAACAATACTATCACTGCTACTAATGTCATTAATAATACTCCTAGGCAAGGCAAGTTTATTTGTATCCCACTTTTTTTGACTAAGGCATAGAAATACACCAGAACAACATCTAAACACACAATGCAGAGCAAGCTAATAAAATTAAATGATAAAAATAATAGACAAAGAATACAGTTACAGTGCAGTAATAAATTCAAGTGTAATCACTAAATTTAAATCTAATCTTCAATTAGTTGTTGCATTATTAATTCAACCATAATACCAGCAAAACTTCACTGTAACACTAAACTACAACTCCTAACTGTATACAAACAGTAACACAAATACTTATATACTTTGCATGTGTCTTTATACACTGACTAACATGCTATATGTTAAAGTGATGTTAAAGTGATACCGACACTGCATAGAACTACAAAGCAGGTGTGGTCATCAGATCTTCAAATTAGTACTAATATAAATCTTTATTTTAGTCATGAACCAGTAAGATACTGTAGAAAGATACAGTATATTATTCATAAAAATACATATGTTTAACTAAAAATAGATTATATTGTAGTTAGTATTTGCACTTTGGTTGTGAGTTCAACATCTTGACCACAGCTCTAGGGAACAGGCTGTTTCAGTCAGTTGGTCTGTGCCCTTATGACCTTAAGGCTGCCAGAGGGCAGTTTGGTGAACAGGTGGTGACCAGGGTGTGAAGGGTCTCTTCTGAGTGGATGTCACTCAGATTTGGACGTGGGGAGCTATCAATCCACTGAGCTGTCTTCACTACTCACTGTAGGTCCTTCCTCTCCTTTCCAGTGCAGCTAGAGTACCAGACTGTATAGCAGGATGTCAGGACACTTTCTAATGTGCAGTGGTAGAAACTGAGTAGGAGTTTCTGGGAAGAGTTTATTGCACCTCAGGGTCCTCAAGAAGAAGAGGCGCTGCTGGGCCTTCTTGAACAGGCATGCTGCATTTACACTTCAGGTCAGGTCTTCTGATAGGTGGACTCTGAGGTATTTAAAATTGGCAACCCGCTCATTCCCCTCTATGTTGATGCATATTCCAGTGTTGTGTGTTTTCTTGTTCTCTCTGAAGTGTAGGATGACATCCTTTGTCCTATTGGTGTTGAGGATCAAGTCATTGTCCTTACACCATGAAGACTGTATCTGACTTCTTCCCTGCAGACAATTTCCTCATTTGTGATCAGGCAAATCTGATTATGGTGTTAGAGCTGTGGGTGGGAGTGCAGTCATAGGTGACTATGGAGTAGAGGAGTGGACAGAGGACACAGCCTTGGGGGGCACTGATGATGAGGATGATAATAGAGGAGGAGTGTTTGCCTAATCTGACATGCTGGGGTCAGTTGGTGAGAAAGTCCTTGATCCACAGACAGATAAATGTGTATAGTTCAAGTGTCTGCAGTTTGTTTAGCAGTTTTTGCCAGTTGAGGAAATTGAAAGCTTAACTGAAGTCAACAAAAAGCATCCTGACAGGTGTTGGGGTTTTCTAGGTGAGTGAGAGCAGTGTCAAGTGCTAGTGAAATGGCGTCATCCGTGGATCTATTGGCCATGTTGGCAAAATGATGTTGGTGGAGATGGGGGGAGGGTACAGGTCTCGATGTTGGATAGCACCAGCAGCTCTCAAAGCATCAACAGGCTGGTCATCATTATGGCCTGTTACTGCTGAGGTCTTGGGCACTGGCATCATGGTGGCAGTTTTCAGACAGGTCTGAACTGTGGCCTGTCGTAGTGACTGTTTGAAGATGTTTGTGAAATCTGCAGCAAGCTGGTTGGGACATGCTTTTAGGGCTCCTCGAGGAACACCATCAGGACCAGCTCCCTTTCTGCTGTTTATGTTTTGTAGAGCCCGCCTGACACTGACCTAAAGAGTCGGGAGGATATGTTAAAATCAGTCATTGTCAGTTCTCTGCTTGTATTTGTCTTTTTTACCTTTTGGAGGGGGGGAGGAGTAGGTGTAAAGAGAGGAAGGTGGAGTGAAAGGTAATGACATGCAGAAAGAGAAGAGAGGTGGAGAGGGAACAAAAGTTTGTACAGTTGTGTAATTATTTAGGTGAATTCATTATCTAGAAGCAAAGTATTTTCATATTCTTTTTGTTTACACTGTCATGGTCTACTCTTAAGGGACACTTTCTGTGGACTATTTTTATAGACTTCATATTTGGACTTTTGTTTATTTCCTGTTCTTATTTTGAAATGATTTCCTTTTATGTCTGTTGTTATTTCACTGAACTCTACCTGTCCAGTATTTGTTTTGTCTGCACTTCGGTCCTAAAGTTACAGTCACTGACATACACAGTGATTTTTCTTTAATTGTAGCTTCATATCCTGTCAGTCGTGTCTTAGTGAGATGCTGAACTCCTACCTGCCTTCTCTGGTCCACCTGAGCATTTCCTCAATGCCTGAGATGTAAATGTAAAATAGCAGATGTAGCACATGTTAATCGATGGTATCCCTGTGACAGGATTGGCTTTTTTTATCCATCTCATATGTCATATTCACTGACCACTGTTACGTCTGGCAGCAGTGTCCACGACGGCTGGGAGTCCATGAATCTTGTGACCTTGGCACATGGAGTTGGTCTCAGGGCGACCATCTGTGCTGGCTGCTTCAGTCAAGACGAGACCAGCCGAGAGCACTTGTCCCAAAAATAAAAACAAACACACACAAAATAAACACTTGTCTTCTCACTGCCTTCTCTGCTATTTTTTTTAATTATAAAAAAATCGCTTTCAGATTTAGGAACTTAACTATATAATATCATGTCTTTACTGGCCTTAGATGTGGTATTGGTGTTAGTGTGCAAATTCAACTTAACTTTAATGAAATACCAACAACCTTCAAAGGAACAAAATACATGAATCCTGAGCAAATTGAAAGTTTTAACCATATTTGCTATTAGTTGATTATTTTCACTCCATAAAGCTCATAGTCATGAAATCTACTGAGTTTTATCAACTAGTAAGTCAATATGTTTATAGCTCCCTCGATTTTATCTATTTTCTTAACATTGTGATGGAACTATCCAGGTTTAAGCCACGAATATAAAGTAGCAACACTTTTTAGAGTACACACAGCACAATGTAGAGATTAAACACTTATTACTACAATATGACGACATTTACAATAATATTATTTTTTTTATAAGTAATTTGATTTAAAATCATTGAAAGATTTTTAGCATACATTCATGATTATCCCTTATTTCATAGATAAATACATTAAAACAAATTGTGCTGTGTGTAAACTTAGTTTGGGGAAGTTTACAACTACTGCATCCTTGTGTAATTACATACACAGTTTATACCTCATTGTTGTGGAGCAGAGACCCCACCCACCCTCCATTCACACCTAAGCTCACCACCACTACTAGTCTGATCATAAGACGTCTTTTGCAGCTCTGAGGTCAGCGTCACCTAGCTGTTTTCCATCCTGCCTGCTGAGCGTTCTGTCTGCCTCTCAGTGACTCTGCCATTACCTCATTACAGTCACAAGGATCTCTGTGTGTGGGCATCAGTGTGAGTGTGTGAGTGTGTTTTTCTTGGCTGAATGGGTGTGTATTGAGACCTGCTGGTCTGGAGCAGAATCAGGAGAACATATTGTATGACGATATGGTAAGCAGACAGAGGCCTGAGCTGAAACCACAGCAGAGCACAGAGCAAACAGAATCAACTGTCTCAGATAAATCCCCACAGTTCATATCAGGTCATCATAACAGCGTTTAACATGTCTTTTAATTAGCAATTTATTTAAGAAAACTTAAGAAAACCTTAAATATGTAAATGGAACCAATCTCATTTCAGTGAATCAGCTGATATTTCTCAGCTGATGCGTATTTTGTTTAAGATCTGCTTGATACGTCTGCTGCATTTTCTTTTGACCTAGAGTTTAGGGCTGGAATTAAAGTCCTAAGCCTACTCAAATTATGCAAACTTGCCCTGTGTTCTGAAAACATTGTTAAGAGAGGGATGAGAGGGCTTGATAGGTGTAGGTGTAAAATTTCCCAACAAATCACAGCTGTCTTCACAGTCACACATTTCTACCCCACAGTACCACACTCTACAGTTTTATTGTTTCTCTATCCTGTTTGTCTCCACATCATACCAGGTGGAACAGCATCGTGGAGTTGGTGGAGCAGAAGAAAGATCAGCTGGACTCAATGTTACGTCTGCAGAACTACCTGCTGGAGTGCGCCGAGATCAAGTCCCAGATCCAGGACAAGAGAAAAGCCATCGACGCCACCCAGTACGTAGGCAGCGATCTGGGAGGAGTCCTCGCTCTGCAAAGACGCCTTTCCACCATGGAGGGAGCCTTGTCTGTCCTGGAGCCCAAACTACTGCATCTGCAGGTAAGGAATTATGGGGGAGTACACTGACTGTACAAACATTTAAGGATGGGGTCCGTTTTCAACTGTCACATTACCATGTGGATAAAAAAAAATACAGTCCTAAAAACAAAATAATAATAATCATTAAATAAATAAACAGTGATTGTAAGAAACCACAGAAGATACAAACTGCAGCATAAAGGCTATAATAACTGTCTCTGTTTGGTGATGTAGGAGGAGGCAGAGCATCTGGCCACCGTTCACACAGGTCGGGCCATGGAGGTTCTTGTGCCGTTTGATGGCATCAGTGTGGAGTGGGAGGAGCTGAAACGCACCCTGCAGGGCTGTGAAGACTCACTGATGGTGGCTAGCAGGCTGCAAAGCTTCATACAGGTACACAGGAGTAGTTCATACATCAGGAAGAACTCTGATCACTCTGATCAGCTAACCAATGATCAATCAATAGGAACTGCAACAACATGTGTTTGATTCTGTGTCTTACTGTGCTCCTCTCCTTCCTGTGAGACTGTTCTGTAACTGACATGAACAATAAAGACACATTTTCAGAACTGCTAATATAAAACATAATAGTGCTTTGAGTTAGTTATTGTTTCAAACCAAGTATAGATCTGCAACTCATGCCGACACTGGATGTTCTGGTAATTTTGTGTTACAGAGCAGAGCAGAGAACAGAAAGCTCACCTATTGGTTATTTGTGTAAAACATTTGTTTAGTATTTTAATGTAGTTAAGGAATGCTTTTTCACATAAAAACAAGGAAATGTATGTAGAATGTTTCTCTCTTGAGAAGGTTCCTCTTCCCAGAAGAGGGTAAAAAGACGACAACAGAGATTGTGAAAACAGTGATGGAGAAATTGGTTGTTTGAGGAATCAAATTTAACTATCTGCTGCAAGCTAAGCAGGAGTGTTTTGACACAACTGGTAATCTGGAAACAAACTGCCTTTAATTTCACCTTGCAAGAGAGAAGTAAATTTACTACATACAAACCTTTTGAAACCTATGTATGGTTATAATGTGCTAAAGAGGCTGCAGATTATTTTTTATTTGTCAGATTAGACTAACAGTAGAATTGATGAAATGTAAATCATGTTCCTCTCTCGGTCCTGTCAGGATCTGGACTCATTCCTTACCTGGTTGGTCCAGACGCAGACAGCTGCAGCCTCAGACCAGCTGCCCAACGACCTGGAGGAGGCAGAGAGACTGATCAACAAACATGCTGCCCTCAAGGAGGAGATAGGACGGTGGGTTACTGAAAGACAAGAGGCTTTTTATCCTTATCGATCCTTAGTGATCTTCCTAAAAGGTCCTAGAAACACAGAAAATGATTGATTTGGGTCTCTGTTGTTGTCGGTGCAGGTATGAAGAGGACTATGAGCGCCTGCAGGCCATGAACGAGCTGCTTGAGTCCGAGGAGGCTCCCCTACCCCAGGCCGCCTTGCAGCAGTGGCTCCAGAAGCTCGATGTCGGCTGGAACAAACTGCTAGAGATGTGGGAGAGCAGGAGAGAAGTTCTGGTCCAGGCTCACATTTTCCATCTGTTTCTGCGAGACGTTAAACAGGCGGAGTCCTTCCTCAATAACCAGGTGAGATAAAGAAAGACTTAGCAGGAGGTAGGAGTTGCAAAGGAGTGTCTCTGGACAGCTCTCTGTGGTGTTTTAGCTACCCTAGTGGCATAGCTTTAGGATGGCATTGTCTGTCGTTCTGTCAGTCTAAAACTTTGGTTTAAAATGAATTATCTCAACAACTTTTGGATGGATTACCCTTAAATTTGCTACAGACATTTATGGTCCCCAGAGGATGAATCGTATTGTCTGTTGGTGATCAAGTTTTTACTTGACTACTTGTTGTGATAATGTGATTGGCTTTCTATTTAATAGTTTATTCCTACCATTTACCTGATGTACATGTTAGTAAAAACCTCTTTCAGTTGCTCCAGCCCCACTGCTTCTTGGAAATCTGCTTAAGTAACTTTTACAACTCTAGAAAAGTTCTGTTTGTTGTGATGTTTGACAGCCAAAAAAAGCAGCTGTTGTGTGCAACATGTATGACATGCTTTTAGGCTGCTGATTTTACATTGCTGCTTTTAGGTGATGTTTGTCAGAACTTGTCTGGCTGCCACTGAGGGAGAAACAAATCTCCTTTGCTAAGCTTATTTTTCCTTTTGCATCTTTTCTTCTGTTGGTGGTAGACCAGAAGGAGCTATATGCCACAAAGAAAATCAGTAGAGAAAAATGATGTGCAGCTCAAAGAGCGCTGTCATTTATATATCAGTTGATATACTGTGTATACATACATACATACATATTTAATACTGAACCAAAATGAGGGGCAGATTAAGAAACAGAAAAGGTTGAAAGAGTGCAGACTAACATCTACACTTATTCCTATGACATGGTGAACAAACATACTGTATATCACCAAAACATCGTGGTGTCTGCATGAACACACTCTCTCTAAACAGGCTTAATGATGCCTTCTGACTGCAGCTGAGATGCACAGAAAATCAACTGGACTGGGTGTGGTCAGCGTATAACTCTGCCAACGAGAGAAAAGCAGAGTGTGTGTGTGTGCGCGTGTGTGTGTGTGTGTGTGTGTGTGTGTGTGTGTGTGTGTGTGTGTGTGTGTGTGTGTGTGTGTGTGTCAGCAGGTGTCTTCCTGCAGAGTGTCTCTGTGTTATGTGATATTAGAGCAGGAGCTGTTGAGACAGCAGCTTCTAGTAACTCTAGATCTACATGATGAAGTGTAGGAGGAAGAGCTGCTGGCAGCCTTCTGATTCTCAAGTCTGTATGTGCGTGTGTCTGTGTGAACAATATACAGTATGATGGTATTTATAGGTTTGTGTAAATTATACTTCTTGTTGGTTAAACTCTGTCCATGAATCGTAGGTTAGTGTTTAAGTATATCTTTTGCAAACATCATACCTTGCATTAAATAATGCAGTAGTATCATGAATGAAGGGAGATTATATTACTTTAACGAAACATGATGTTGCAGTTATCTTAGTGGCATCAATGATTACCAATATAGATTAAGTGCAGCTTTGAAAGTAATGTCTCATCTCATTTTCATGTCATGAATATGAGCTAGGATGTTTATGCAGCAATTAGCACAGACAGAAATAATAGAAAGCAAGGATTTCGTAGAAATCAGTTTAAGTGTATTTAAGGACCTTTTTAAAGTAGATTTAGACATTGCTGAACGATGATTATCTCTTTTCTTTTATAATGTATAAATTCCTATAAATGTCCTTATAGCAGTCTTTGGAATGTAACTATCACTTTGTTTCAGGATAACATATAAATATGATCTAGCCTGTGTCATGTACAGAGTAACAGTCTATCGCATGCACGTTTTTTTCTAATCCGAAATGTCACAGGCAGAGCTGCCTCTGACTCCCCTGCCCCTGCCCCTGTGTGTGTGTGTGTGTGTGTGTGTGTGTGTTGGCCAGAACGTCTCTTTTGCTTTGCTAACAGATCTTTACCAGGGACCAGCTCCTTATTAGCCTGGTGGGGGTTGGGGTGAGAGCCTTATTTAGAGAGCAGCATTTCTTCTTCAATAAGTATCAAAGACGTTCCAGCCCATAGATCTTTGTCTACCTCTCCATGTTGTTTCTGCCTTAATTTAATTTATTTTCTCTGTATCCAGGGGCCCGAACTTCTCCTTATAAAAGGGCAAATGCAAAATAATATGAATGATTTGTTGTACTGTAGACTTACTAACAATTATTGTCATTATTGAATTCATCTGCCTGTGTTTGATTAATCATTTAGTCGAATAAATTACAGAAAGTTGTGAAAAAAAATCCCCTCACAATTCCCTAAAACATCTGTTGATGTCTTGAAACCGTCCAAAACGTAAAGATATTTAATTTACCATCAAACCTTCACACCTGAGAAGCTTAAACAAAGGAATGCAATATTTTTTCTGCTGATCAACTAATCAATAATGTAATCGATAAAGTTAAATGTTAAGGATTAAAATTGGATGTTTCTCCTATGATTGTTCATCCTGTGGTTTAGTTGATTTTTTATAAGCCAATAACAGTCATGTCCTAATTTTCAGGAATCTCTCTCGTCTGTTCTGTGCTCATGGTGTTTTTCTGTGTATTTTAGGCTCTTTAGTTTTTTTTCTTAGTTAATCTCCTGACGTCACTGTATCTGTCTCTGAACCTAGAATTCACCTCACTGCTCCCATCTTCATCTTCCAGGAATCTGCCCTTGCTCATGTGGAGTTGCCCACCACGGTGGAAACGGTTGAGGCCGCCATAAAGAAACACAAGGACTTTACCACCACCATGGAGCTGAACCTGCACAGGATCAAAGCTGTGATCGAGGCTGGAGAGAGTCTGATCAGTCAGAGCAACATCTACTCTGAACGCATCAGGGAACGCATCGACACCCTCGCCAACAGGTACCAAATACATAGAAACAGAAGGACATGAGCTAGATTAAAGCCTAGACTGACTGTCAATGTTTAACTGTTTTTTGTTATGTTATATCAGTTTTACTTTCCTCGAAAAGGATAACTATCAAAAAAGATTCAAAATGTTGAACTCTCACATTGATATTTCAGTTTTCCTCCTGCTTTGTGATTTTTTTAATGAGAATATTTGCTAAGCATGAGCATATGCATTTAAAAAGTATACCAAAAATAATACACACTTTCTAATTTTTTTTTTTTTTTTTTTAAATAACAATGAAACATAGAATTTTACCATATAAAACAAAAGATTTTTCTTTACTGTTGCTCTGTGGAACTGGAAAAGGAAGCAATAGGAAATATTTTTTCTTAAAGGTCAATTTGTCTAATTATTCTGTGTGCAAAATGGAAGCAAGGAGAAGGAAATGTACATGTCCGACATAAATGTAAAAAGAAAAATTATGTACTTTACACTCTTTGAGTAGTTGCTAGTGTGTAAAAAGCCACAGTCGTTTTAAATGTTGGATATCTCCATTTGAGATGAAACTCCGTCACTCTGACACAGTATGTCAGCACAGACTGTTGGAGCTGTACGTTGAGCTGAATATAAAGCTCAAAGAGCTAAGCAGCTGTCCAAACACAAGACGACAATAATAAAAAGAATAATTGCAACTAAAGAATTTGAAGAAAAGAGACTTGAGAGTATAAATGAAACAAAACACAGAACACAGAGCCCAGCCTGTTTGGCTCAGACCTGACACCTGACCATGAAATCTGTGTGATAGCTGAGGTGGTGTGCGTGCGCGAGTATGTGTGTGTGTGCACATGTGCGTGTGGGGGATGGGGTTTTTGTGTGTGTGTCCAACAATAGCACTGTGGTGAACCATATGGTTTTTAGATTTAATTTACATGAATTAACCCAGTGGACGTTTATTTTTCTCCCATGGTGACAAATAAATGAGCACAGTGGTACATGATGGTTTTTATGTGTTGTTTTCTGGTTCTATAATATATCATTTCACAATTATTACATTTTCAAAGTTCTTTTTCATAAAGAAATAAATAAATCTGGTCTCTGTCTGTTTGTTGTTATGAAAATATCAATATTACAGCTGTACTTTTTTGGGCAACACCAACCCAGATTCTTCCCTGTTACCAAATTAAAGTGGTGATACTAGAGTTATTATGTCTGAGTATGTCAGACATAATAAATATGAATACAAATGAACAGATTAACATAATTGTCAGTTTATAACTGTTTGCCAAATTAAATCCAGTGTTAAATCATGACTCTAAAAATATAGACTTCATTATAACGTAATTGTATTTTCACAAAGGTGCAACAAGTAAAGTATGGCTTTTGTTGCTCTCTATAAGGTCAGTGTACTATATTTCATCTGATTATTGCCATAAAGAATGTATGAAGATGAAATATAATACTAATACTGCTGCTCGTGCCCTCTCCTTTGACCACTTTCTTACTCGCTCATCCGCAATCAGTCAGCTTTTAAAATGTTTGTAGGTTGGGAATGATTGTTCCAGAATAAGCAGGACTGGATTGTCAGTAATCTCAACACCTTGTAAAGCAAATCTAAAGTTAAACAGAAGTAGATGCCAAAATAGTATAGTTGTGTTAATTATATAGTAATTGTACCTTGAAACTTAACAGCTTGTCCATCACTATTTCAGGGGAAACCAGAACAGAGAGCTGGCCCAGCAGTGGCTGGAAAAACTGAACGATCAGTGGGAACTTCAGAGGTTTCTCCAGGACTGTCATGAGGTAGGAGGCTTCTGCAGTTGACCCTTCTTGTGCTTCTTGGCCAAGAGTGGTGTGCATCTTGGATTCAAGCCATGAAGTCCTTAGTTGTTAAGTGATCTACTTACGGTTGGCACTGACACATTTATCCCAGCCTTCTTCGGGTCATCCTGTAAGCCTTTTGCAGTAACCCAGAGGTTTTTCTTTGTTGTCTTGATGAGAGCATTGTACAGAAGTTCAAAACCTCTCAATGTTGTCTCTAGGAATGTTCAAGGTCTTGGAAATCATCTTACACCCATTGCCCAATGTGCAATGAAATTATCTTCTGTCTCAGCTTTTGTGACCGCTCCCTAGTCTTCCCAAAAGTTGCAACACACCTTGAACACATCACTGGGTGATGTTTATATAAACACATCACAGCTGAATCGGGTTTTAACCCAGCTGCAGGTTGACAACGGTATGAATATCACCACTACTGTATGTACTGCTTGATTTTGTGATCTTTGAGATGTGCTGTGCAAAACCATGTCAAGAATGAACACAGATACCAAAGATTGTACATATTTTGAGTACGGTCCTTACAGTACTCACAGTACAGTACAGTCCACACCTCATGTGTCGAGTTTTGTTGCACACGGGTCACCTCTGTTGGCTCCTGCAGTTTTTGCTCTCTCACCCTGCAGAGACACAGGCGTCTTTCTGGGCCAAAACCTTGTTTAGTTTCAGCAACTTTCTCTCTTTGGCTCCCCTGAATAATTCAGCAGCACAGCTCCTCATCACTAATTCAGAGGAGGAAGAGTATATCTCACTATGTACATGAGTGTGTGTGTGTGTGTGTGTGTGTGTGTGTGTGTGTGTGTGTGTGTGTGTGTGTGTGTGTGTGTGTGTGTGTCAGCCATATATCTCTCTGTCTGCTTGTATGTTGTATGCGTGTCTAGAGAAGTACAGTATGCATGAGGAGTCTTCCCCTGACTGTGTGTGTGTGTGTGTGTGTGTGTGTGTGTGTGTGTGTGTGTGTGTGTGTGTGTGTGTGTGTGTGTGTGGTGTACAGTGGGCGAGTGACACTGCGTCAGTCTGTAGAAACCTGAGCTCTCAGCTGGCAGGGTGTGTTCTCTTCGGTCCAGCCTGCACCCTCGTGTTTCCTGTTTCTCACTGCCGCTCCCTGTCCACTCACCAATACATTTACACTGGCCTTTACACAGTCACTTATGTTTGTTGTACACACAATGTTATCATCTACAGTTTATATTTATTGGTCTGGTCTTTATGTAGTTGTAACACACTCCATGCATGCGGCTGGACTGCGTTTATATAGCGCTTTTCTAGTCTTATCAACCACTCAAAGCGTTTTACACTACAAGCCACATTCACCCATTCACTCACACATTCATACACAGCTTTCTTCTACACATACAGCTCTTCTACCATACACTCACACTCATACACTGATGGAACAGCCATCAGATGCAATTTTGGGTTCAGGGGCCAGTTGCACAAAGCACCTTAAGTTTTCTACTTAAGTATGACACTTAAGGTTGAAGTTCTCCTTGCTGAGGGAGTTACTTACGGGTGTTGCTCAGAATCTCTTAAAAGGTTTCCTTAGTTAAGGAAAAATGTTAAGGCATTTGCAGCAATGAAGGAGATTTTACAGCTCTAAAATTCTACAGTTTCCATGGAGACCATGGAAGATACAGGATACAATCAGAGGTACCTTAAGTTTATTTCCTTAGTTTAGTTGCTAAGGTCTTCTGTGCAACAGTTCAATTGACTTTAAGTGATTCCGTAAGTATAAGACTAAAATAAGGAAAATACCTTAAATATTTAAGAGAACATTTTAAGATAACCTTAAGGAGAAGACTTAAGGTTTCCTTAAAATAAAACTGTTACACAAAGCACCCTTAACTCAGACTTTACTGGCCCCAGAATCTTGCCAAAGTAAACTTCAGTACGTGGACTGGAGGAGCAGGGGTCAAGCTGCTCTTTTAGAAATACTTCTCTTTTTCAACAGAGATACTGGACAAAGTGTAAAAGACCATTACTCTTAGAATAGAGCCAGCACAGCAGTTCAGTGCTATTTATTACAAAACAGAACATATTTTTTAATGGTTTGGTGCATTTTGTTTTTGTATTGTGTTTTTTATTTATTTTTTGAATTATTAATCATGTATTTTATGTTTTATTTGGTTCAGTTATTTTCTGATAACACTTGCAGTACAATGAGACTTGCAATGAGACAGTCACATGGGTTCTCAGTTCACTTGCTGATTGAGTACTGTAATTTTCCAGCAACCTGCACTGGGAATTTATGACTGTGCTTGCTGTGAACAAAACCCAAGTCTAAAAATACTGAAAAAAAGCAGTATTTTTTCCTCTCTTATATAACCTTAAAAGTCCCTATTCAACCTGTCTGTTCCACTTTATCCACAGTACAACTCCATCTTCAGGACAATAGGGGACTGAAGAAGTGAACTCAGAGATCATACTGTCGCTTTTGCCCCGACTCACCTCTGGGTCTGTTTCCAGAAAAGAGCAGGTGTATGTCCAAAGGCTGCATTGCTAAACACACTGTGTCTCTATAATACACAAGGTGCAACACATGATAGGTCACTCTGTACGCATTCTCTCCAGTCTTCAGCTTGTTTGTGCTGTTCTTCTGTCAACTCTCATATTATGGATTGACAACTCTGACAGGTTATTGTATGCTCAAGTTAGACAATGTTTCATTCACTGATAATATTTTCTCCTGGCCTAAAAATCCTTTAACTATTCTTCTTCATACAATATCTGCAGTGGACTAGTGTTTGTCCTGAGCTCACCTGTGTGACCATTTGATGATTTGTACACTCAAAAGCTATGTAAGTAAAGTGGTCTGTGAGCTGTTGAAGAAAAACACTAAATTGAATGTTCAGCCCATGAAAAAGCCTGAAGCACTGACATATTTCTGTCAACATGCAGGGCACATGCAAATCTATTTTTAGTCTTCATCCAAACCTTCTCCTGATGTCTAATCAATTAAAAAAAAAGGAAATGTATATTTTAGTAGAGTTGGCAGACAAAGGGGAATTTGATTTCCCCATGAACTGGTTGATTGATTGATTGATTGATTGATTGATTGATTGATTGATTGATTGATTGATTGATTGATTGATTGATTGATTGATTGACTTTATTGTCCACCTCAGTGGAAATTTGTCTTCGGCTTCTCCCAAAGGAGGTACGATTAAAAAATACATACAATCCACATAACAAGACACACCATTAAAACATACGATGTGTACAACATACAACAGTGCAAATGAGCAGGTAGCAGCAGATAGGTTAAATAAATAAATACCAGAGAGCAAATCTTATAAAAAAAAAAAAAAAAACAGTAATGAGTAACAAGTGTTCCCAGGTGCTGTCATTTTGTGTTCAATGCCTGTATGGCATAGGGAATAATAGAGTTCTTGTACATGTTCCGGCTGGTCCTGGGACAAAGGCTTGTCCTTATTATTATATGTTATTCTTTAAAATATGTAAATAAGTAATTTCTGACTCTTGAAATCCGGTCTGTGTCAAATCTAAAATATATAAGAATGGATTTTAGGAAAAGCTCTACTTTGAAAATAATGGCAAATAATGCATTTTATAATAATGCATGTAATTACTATATTATATTATTATGATGATTAATTCTTTATTTTTTATTTGTCGATCTGAGGTTTAGTCGATAAATTGTCAGAAATGGCCATCACAATTTACCAAATGACCGAGGTGACATTTTCAGCTTTGCCTATGTTAATTAATTTACTTATCCAACTGATTAATGGGCTAATTATTATTAGTTCCACACATGCTCATCAACTTTCCGCAATGTGATGTCAAAGTGCTATATAGTGGTAGAGCTGTGGGTTTTCCAGAGAAGCTTTCTTGACATGCACTTTGTTCTTTCATCAACATGATGATGAAGTCTAATAACGTGATGATGAATACGAAGCTGTGAATCCTCCTCCTCCCTCTCTTGTTGCCCTCTTTCCTCCTCCCCCTCCTCTTTTCTGTCCCTTTCTTCTCTTCTTACGTCAGACATACCTCCCTATCTCCTCCTCCCCCACCCATTCATTCTCTATGTTGCCGCCCCCCACACCCACACACACGCACACACACCTCAACCCCACACACACAATCCCCCTCTCTTCCTCTTCGCTCATTCAATTCATTTACAGTCTCAAGGGGGGCATCAGGCTGTGACCCACCATGACCTCTACAGTCATGAGACCGATGTGTGTGTGTGTGTGTCTGTGTGTTTGTACACTGCTTATGAGTGTGACTGTGCACACGCTCTTTTTTTGTCTCGGCATATATGTGTGTGTGAATGTGTGAGGTGTGTTTACTCATTTTAGCGGTGTGTCCTCACCCATGTGTGACAGTGTGTGATAGCTTCTGGAAGAGGTGACAAAGTGACGAACAGAGGGAGCGTCTGACTGAAATCCAGCCCTGGTCCTTTAAAGAAAAGAGGAGCAGTAAATCTGTCAAACTACAAATACATCATTCGGGATAAATCACTGTTCTGTCCAATCCTCCACTAGCTGTCTCTCTCTTCCCACTATCACCCTCTCTTCTTTTCCTCTGTCCAAACCTCTACTGTTTCTCTCTCTCTTTTCTCTCTGCTTTACCACTGCAGCGGCGTCAGGCAAGCTGGAGACAGAGAGTACAGCTGCCTGGGACTGCTGCAGAGAGGAACAGAGGGATGGTAGAGGGGGGTGGTGTGTGTAGTGCGGGAGAGAAAGAATAAAACAAAAGCAGCTATCGCTGAGTCGTGGGCTTGGCTGTTAGTGGTCTTGGGCTTGCTTCAATCCATTAAACCAGCGAAAAAAAAAATCTCGTCTTCTGGTTTCCACTGTTTCTTTACCCTCACACTCATCCATCCCCTCCGCTTTGACACCGTTTCAAGCCCACCTCCCCCCTCTACCTCCTCCAGCTCAGCATCATTAGCCATGACCGGTGAGCCTGGAGGCACTGCCTGCATCCCCTGCCCCCCTAAAATCCCTATCCCACTCTTTTGCTCCTCCCTCTCCTCCTCCTCCACTCCATCTCTCGTCCGACCAGCCTGCTCACTCACTCGCCTGCTTGTTGAGGGTGTGAGGCAGGGGAGGAGCACCCGTGCGTCGGCTCGGCTGCCTGCCATTTTATTGTTTTGGGGAAGAGGTTTTTTTTTTTTTCCTTCCCTCAGTCATCCTCGTTCTTGCCCTCTCGCTCGTCACTGAACCGCCCCCGCCCCTCCTCTCTCTCCTGGTTGAGCATACGGCGAGTCCTCAGCAACACAGCAAGGAAAGAGGAGAGAGGGGAGCGCAGCCTCAGTTTGAAGTCTCCAGCCTGTCTCTTCAGCCTCCAGTATTGTTGTTATTTACCCTCATGGCTGGCGTTTTCCTCTCAGCACACCTTTTGTGTTCACCTATCCAGAAGAAGCCTCTCTTTCTGACTCCCTTTACTTTCCTTCCTCTTCTCGTTCTTTCTCTCCATCTGGCTCTGCGGTGAAGAGTGTCTTTGCATGTGTGTGACGGCAGACCAGCGAGGATGCGGATACCAGCGGCTGCCTGCAGCTGCCACAACCCCGTGGGCTGTTCCCATTAAACGGCGCTGGTAAACGAGTTATTCGCTGTACGGTTGTGTGAGGAGAGAGAGCGGTTATGGCTAATGGAGGTGCAGGTGGAAATGTTACCAGCAGGTGTGAGAATGCTGATGACGAAGAGATGAGGGTGCTGATGCTGACCTGAATACGTTGGTGATGCTGTCAGCGCAGGCGTGAGGTGTTCTCACTGTGTGTTTGCCTCACACAGACAATATGTGTGTGCAAAATGTGCAGATTTGACTCTTTGATGGAGAGTGGTGTGTGTGGGTTGTTTACTGTGTGGGTGAGTGTTGATGCTGTGGACACTGTGATCTGTTGTGTGTACATGTGAATTCCTGCCGCCATGCTTGTTGGTACACGTGTGTCTGCCTACATGTTCCTGCTGTGTGTCATTAAATATTCATGTCTGTGTGTTTGACCTTGCATTTCCCACCATATGTGTTGCTGGTGTGTTTATCTACAGCACACTCTGTGTTGTTGTCATTTAGCTCTTTTCACACAACAGAAGCCAGTGAAAACATACATGTGTGAATAATAATGTACTGTAAGTGAGTGTATGACTCGCTATCAAACAAATGAACTGGACATAATTTCAGGATTTGTATGCAGCTTATTAGTGTGTGTGATAGTGTTTTGTATCCAAATCTTTTTGAGATGAGAAATCAGTTTCTACAAAACCAGCACCCCACAACATCAGTCATTTACAGTATTTATAGTCATCCAATATTGACACCTATCTCTCTTTCTCTCTCTCTCTCCCTTTCATTCTCTCCCTGCCTCTCTCACCCAGCTGGGGGACTGGGTGTATGAGAAGATGCTGATGGCGAGGGACAGCAGCCGAGACGAGACCCAGAAGCTTCATAAGAAATGGCTGAAACACCAGGCCTTCATGGCCGAGTTGGCCCAGAATAAGGAATGGCTGGACAAAATTGAAAAGGTGAGTGCTGCTGGTCATCCAAACGTGTTCCTGCCTTGCTGATACAGTTTTGGCTGATTTTTCTTTTTCTCATGCTTGAGGGTTACTGGGTTATTATGATGTATAGTGAGTTTTATGACCTTTGACTTCTTGGAATGGGACAAAATGCCACTGTGTGATACATAATTATGTGTTTGTGTATTTTATTTTGCAGTATTTGTGGGTTTTTTTTTTTTACAATAAGCTGCAGAGGATGTCAGGATAGAGATGGGGAGAAGTAATGACATGAAATATTGATTTTGAGTTGTAAAAGTAAAAAGTGAAAGATATAATTTGTATGGGGTTTGGTCCACTGACCTAAAGAAACCCTACACATCATAATGTGTATCATGGCATTGTTGACAGCAGAATATAGTGTTAGAAAAACAACATAGACACTCCATGAAAAGGGATTTTAACTTACAAACAAGCGGTGAGCTATGTATACACTGTGTTTGTTCTACATCTTTGTCTTTTTGTTGTTGCAGTTTATCTTTCTTAGACGGATGTTGTCAAGATTTTTTCACACTGTTCCTTTCAACTTTAATAATTTATTATTATTCATAAGTCTATTTACACCCGGGTGAAAATAGTCACACACATATGGAATGTCCAATGGTTCCCTAAGCATTTTGTTTAAAAAGACCCCCCAAAAAACAGTGTATAGGACAGCACAAATAGTTGCAGTGCACCGTTTAAAAAAGTGACATATACACCAGGTGGTTTGCTAAACATCTTGGCTATCCACCTTGGGTGCATATAGCAACTGCCTAAATTATTATGTCGGTTTTTCTTTTTTCTTTTTTTTTTACAAAAACTTCTGCTATTCTTACACAGATAATATGACATTTTCAAAGCTTTTTTTTTATCTTATGTTCCTTTGAAAACTCACATATCAAATTGCTGAATACCATGCCCATTTGAGACACTCCATTATCGCAGAGTTTGCATTTATGATTGAGTGTTTTCAGAGATACAGTCTATACTCATCAAGTGTTAACCCTGTAACAGTAAGTAGAAATGAGCTAGAAAGGAGCAAATGGAAAGATTTATCTTCATTGTTGAAGCATGCTGATTTATAGAGTAGATTCCCACTAGCTTATTGTACTAATAGTTAGCAAGAGAAAAAAATGTTGATTTTAGGACTGTAACAAATGGTTATATTAGCTTTGTTTGGGAAGATTTATAGCAGCTGTCGAAAATCTGTTTGGTCAATGAAGGTTAAGATTTGTTAATATAATATTAAAGAGAATAATGACCTCTTGTGTCTGTTTCCCTTCAGACAGACATCACTGATGTAAAAAAAAGCATGGACATCAGTCATCAAAGTTGCAAAGCCTTTCATTAATGTCAAATTTATTTTGAACTACTCTATATTATAGTCCCTCTATTAAACACTTAAGTGTTACACTTACTTAATCAAAGCGTGACAAAGCCAGTGGCAAGGACAAAAAGTATTACAGAAGGGTTTTAAATAGAGAGGGGAGCGCTGTAACCTTCATCATGGCTCTGCGTCCTGATAGGATCTATTTTATATTAAGGGGGTTTATACAGCACATCAGCCTCTTGTCTAAAGCTGCAGTCAACACAGACATAATTGAGTTAGTCTGCGTCCAAGTTTCACTGGGTTGACTTTGGGCTGTTGCTTTCACACCTTTGACTCTATGCTGTGACATAAATCTGGACGTGTAAAATCATTACTGGTCAGTAAAGCTGAAGTTCAGTGCCATGTTTCCACAGGCCATCTCTATCTCCTCACTGATTTTTGTTAGTTCTAGGCAAAGTCGCACCTAGTGTTTTATGTGTGTACGTGTGTGTGTGCCACAGTGTTTGGCCTGTGACAGGCTGTGAGAGGCAGTGAAGGCGATAATTGAATGACATTTGCTCATGTTATAATACCACAGATGGCCCTAGATGTTATGTTGCTATCTAAGTTGTCTATACGTTTGGGCATCTCTCAAGTTGCTTTGTCTGAAATGTTTGCACCCCATCTGTTAAGTGTTATGATCCCAAGAGCAACACGAATGATCAAAGATTGTGTGTACACATCAGAGGAACTTAATTTTAGGAACAAGGTACAGGAAAATATACAGAAAATGATACATTATCCACATGTTCAGACTTTAGTTGTGTAATGCTACAGTCCATTTTTGATCTACATGCTAAACCATGCTTATGTCATGTCATCAGGCCATGTAGACAGTTGGTGGATAGCATTCACCAGTTGCCTGTTATCAGTACAAAATTAGATATTGTATGTGATGACTCTTCAGAGTGAGTGCAGAAGAGTGGTTGAGGTTTTTGGCTGAGGACCCATGGACGCTGATAGACCCATATGGGCTGTTGTAGAAAATCAAACCTGTGACTGTTTAGTTAGCATCTGATGGGGTGTATAATATAAACCCATCCTGGCAGTACATCTGTTCTAAGGGAAGTCAAAGAACTACTGTATTTTTAGTGAAGAGAAACTGATGCTAGATGTATTATCATAAAGCTTAGCACTTATGCTGCTAACTGAAACATTAAATATGATTATACTGAGTGTGTTTCAGTCATAAAAAATCATCATACTTTTGCTTTGATGGTGCATACTGTTGACTATGTCATAATGGCTCAGTCCTCTGCAGTCTCATACTGGGCAGGGCTGAAACTGAACTCCCCTCTGGGAGCAGAGTGAACTGAGCCATGGTACAACACTGCATTATGTGTTATTATCTGTACACATACTGTTCCTTAGAAATGGTTGAGACCAGAGCTGAAGTGATGAGTCAATTAATCAATTAGTGCATGTTAACCAGCAACTATTTCCTTAATTAGTACTTGTATCCAACAAAAATTATTCCATCATTGAAGCTTTCTGCTGGCATGATGGTAAATGGCAAATGGTTGCAGCATATGCCACATACATATACATGGTTTGAATCCAGTCATGGACCTTTTGTTGCATGTCATACCCCTTCTCTTCATCCATTTGATGGTTCCAGCTTCTTACATGTGAGACACAGGTACAGGTACTTTACTTGTTATGATATAAGTACACATGTTGATAAAGTAATAGTTCATCATTCAGCTTGAATAAAATATATGAGGCATTTAAATTTGAGCTTGCTATTGTGTAGAAGTTGCTAGAGGCATTATGGGATGGAGCTGTTAAGTGAATGTGCTCACCCTGACCTGTAGCTTAGGATGATTTGATGGAATAATAATTAACATTATTAAGGTATATAGACCTTAGGCAATAAAAGAGGACAAGAAATTATTTGCACAACCACAAAGGTCACTTTCTAAAACAAAACCACCTTTTTTTCTGGTACAAACTGTCTTGTACAGTCAGGACAGAAAAGCTTCAAATAAACCAGTGAAGTTGAGGTATTACATCATCTCTCTGTCCTTGTCCAATCAGCTCGCTGATCATTCTAACGTTGTGGTTGATGGCTACACAGCTACACAGATAGGCAGCTTCACCCACTACTGCCCTATAAGCTGCTCATTATGTCTAATTACTGTATGCCTGTTGCCGAGAACCCAATGTCTTTTTTCATTTCTCTCTACTTCTTCTTCTTCTTTAGTGGGCACTTGGTGTGGTTGTGAGAATGTGTGTGTGTAGCTGTGCATGTTACCGTGTGTGTGCATGTCTAAAATGTGGGTTTATGATGTAGGCCAATTGGCTGACTGATGTGTGATATACAGTGATATAATGTAGAGAGGGAGCAGCGCTGTGTGGAGAGCCCTGGACTGATATTATAATAAAAAGAGGATTAAATTAGTTATAATAGGCAAAAATTATAAGTTTCTAATTTACATTTGCATTATTTGCATAAATAATATAATTGGCATGATTACATTTGACAGCAGTTAAAAAATGGCTTTCGTGGTCTGAAATGTTGTGTGTAAATGGTTGATGCTCCTCTAGAAATATCAAATCTGCTGTTGCTCTGATGTATAAAGGAACCCACTGTAGTTTTTACGCCCACAAGCTGAAGTATAAGAATATTGCTAAGTTCTTTGTTTTCATCTTCAGATGAAAGTATGAAATTTGGCTGACAGTAAAAAATAAATTTTCTTCTTCCGGTGAATTTTCTTCTCCTTGTTTTTATTTTACTAAATGTATTTTTTGTCATTATTCAAAATACAAAATTGAAAAATTTCCTTTTTTTTAATGATAATAAGAGCAAGGCCTGTTTATACTGCAGAGAACCCAGCCATAAATCAAAGATGCTTGCTCTGTGAAACCTGTTTGCACTCAGGATGAGCCTCTTTCCCATCCTAACCAACATGTATCAAAACATGTTAAAAATCCTGTGGTTTGACCAAACTGTCACCAGAGAGAAAAAGATGGTCACATTTGGATCAGATGGTGATTCTCATATTGCTATTTTTAAAAGAAACTATAATTTTTCAATAAAAACTACATTTTATTCCTCAACGTTTATACTAAAGACGGCTCAGAGTATGGTATGGGATGTTTTCTACACTTAAGCAACAACCTAAATGATTTAACAAAAATATTCTGTGATCATTTGTGGCACTGAAGTCCTGGTGCATTTTTATTTTTATTTCAAGAAAGGAGCATCTCGCTGGAGATAGAGGAAGTGACCCACTAAGACATTTGTGGAAAGAAAAGGTTTATGCGTGTGTTCTATGGGTGTCCTCTATATGTGTGTACTCTCCTGTCTTTGTGCAGACCAATTCTTAACAATCATCAGAATTTCTCCCAAGAGCTATTTAAGGGTCAAGACTTGTTTTTCAGGCTCATGTAAATTTAGGTTTAGATGTTAGGTAGGGATTATTAGAATATGTCAGATTATGATATGTCAGTGGGATCCTCTTAAGAACAGAAGTACAAATGTGAATACAGCTCTAGTGGTCCCAGCTCATGCTCTGCAGTAGCAGACTGTTGTCACACCAGGCCTTGTAGCTGTTGGCAGAGAGACAGGGTTTAGCCTCCGAATTCATATGTGGCAGCCATGTTCACCCCACAA